AAATGATACTTCTCAACACATTCATCCAGTTTTACCACCAAAGCCTCCACCAGAGCATAACTCAAAGCAATTCCTGCTCCTCCAAATCCCATATTAAAACTGAAAAAAACGTTTGATTTTATAGTCTCCGAGTTCATTCCAATGTAATGTTTTCTCGTGTGGTCGTATTTTGACAACACATCCACTAAGTTGTCTACGAAAAAAAGAGTATCATCATCACCCGTCACATACCTATTCATTTTGAACAAAGTGAGATCACAAACTTTTGTAATAGCATACACAAACCATATATTTTTTACTACTACGAGATCTAACTCGGCTCGGTAGTGTAGTGGTCCTTATAGAAACCCACCTTAGGTCATGTTTGTTACATGGTTTTTAGGATGTGGTTATTAGCCTAATATAAAAACTGTTTTTTAATTTTAATTAAAAAATACTAAAAAGATAAAAAATGAAAAATTGTTAATTATAAGTGTTTTTTGCTACCCGAACTAACTGCATCATCCGATAGAATATATTTAAAAAATTCATATGTATAGCATATATACCATCTCACACCATCGTCTTGTTTGAGCCTATAAGTCTCAAGAATGGCTCTATAGAACCGAGTGTGACCTGGTTTTACGAGCTTCCGGTAAAATCTTAGTTTCTTGACGTCTTCACTGACTCTAAACGGCGGGAAGGCCGGAGACCAAGGCAGTAACTCATCGGAGGGCTCCACGTCCATGAAGATATTGCCACGTGTCACGTTTGGTCTCCACCATGATTCTACGTAAGCTCTTCGATTCTTCCACGTACGTGGGCTCCCCACCAACACAAACATCAAATGCCTCAAGTTCGTGGCAGTCTCCTTAGGCTGCGAGAGCCTCTCTTGACATTTTACGGTGAATATATTACCGTAGAAAGATTCTGAAATGGTGTAGGTTTTGTTGTAGAAGACTAGGGTGAAGAAGACTGCGACACCGCCTAAGATCACGAGATGTTTGCATAAGGTGTTTGTGTGGTAACTTAGAGACGACATTGTTCACGGGTTAGTGTGACGATCGATGTAAAAGCCGTATAAGTATAGCTCTAATTAAGTTTATTAGAGACGTGATTAGTTGGAAACTTTTAATCTTAATTCTTTACTTGTCAAACACTAAAACAGTATTGTCAGTCATTCAAAGTGAACTGTATGTAGATTTAAGGTTACTTTTACTAACCAGTTTCGTTTGCCCTGTCGTGTAGTGTACTATCAGTGTTCGGTCACTAGTCAATTTGATGATGTATAGCCGTATAAGTTACAGCTTTTAACTTTATTACAGAGACCTTTAATGTTTCTTCTTTACCAATTAAATTATTAAAAATGTGTTTCAATAAAAAAAGAACCTTGTTCTAAAAAGGGAAATTGGGAGAACTAAACTAACTATATAAAATATGAAATACCCAAAACAGCAAATTGGTTAGAGCAGTCAGTCAACTGGTATGTGATTTCAATCCAGACATGAACTATATAGCTTGCCGAATGGTACATAATAACAGGTATCTGGTATGTAATTAATCTATGTGTAATCTGTAATTATGTATTAATGCTGACTCTACCTTTGCTAAAACATTTAGAACATGGTAATAACATCTTAGGGATATATCTTGTCTCTTATCTTTATTCTTTCGAAAAAGAAAAAAAATCATACGAAAACAATTTCACATGCTACTTCAGTTAAGTTTTTTTTTTTGCCAAGAATGCAAATATCATATTAATGATGTTCAGATTTTACAGAACCTTAAGTTTTTATTTATTTACTTGTTAAACACTAACAATCTTGTCAACCATTAAAAATGAAATTGTATGTGAATCTCAGTTTTTTTTTTTTTTTTTGAAACACACTTATATTAATTCAATCAAGCCAGGGTAGGTGCAGCCATTAAGGCTAGTTCAGCAGACAAAACCTGCTTTGCTAACAAATCTGCTTCTACATTTCTCACTCGTGAGATCCAAATAAAAGAAATACATTCAAAAGATGAAACTAAGTGCTGGATATCCGCCAAGATCCCATAGAG